CTGCTTGTTGAATGGTTTTAATAAATAAAACGAGATTGTATTTGTAGCTCACTGAAACGTGGCTTCTCTTCTACAGCTGTGAAACATCTTAAAAAAAAATTAAAGCTTGTAATATATTTTGTTTGTTTTGTTTTGCTCTTCATTTCCACGGTAACAAACAAAACGGAACAAGTACTCAGGTAATTAAAACTAGAGGTTCAGCAAACAAGAATTTACCGGCAGAAAAAGAAGCAGAGGTGCTGGTCCACACAAACTGGCTGCAGACCAAAGTCTACTAGTTTCAGTTTTTTTTTAATCTTGGCAGTCTTTTCTAGAAAACAGATGGATAAATAAGACTTTCTAAATTAGGATACTCATTTGAAAGCAGACGTCACAGGCTTCTTATTGCACTTATTAGTGAGTAAAATCTGCTATTTAGAGGTTGACAGATAAAAATTTGGTCCAAGACATTTGTTTTTATATTTTGTATTTAGCATGACTTGATTTAATGTTTAACACATTTTATATTTATACTGAAATAAACACTGAATAATATCACTATAACTTAAGCCACCTCCTGTCCTGCACACACACACACAAACACACACAAACACACAGGCTGGGATGAGCATCAGCGTATAACTTAGGTAATTCAGTGATGTCATTCAAACATTACCAAAAGCCAAATGTTATATAACCTGGCTGTTAGAAAATGGTTTTCTGCCAAATGGAAAGAGGGCATGATGATGTAATTTCAGGGTACACACTTCATTACTGTCTGGCGTACATAAATTTGAGGTTTGCTTAAAAATCTGCCCCCCTCCCCTCCCTCCAGTCCAAATTGTTTTTTTTTGGTGTTGAATAAGAGGATTCACAGTAAATTATGTAAAAGAAATGTTTATTTCCATATTTAACACATACAGTACATCTTTTTTGAAACAAAAATAAAAAGTGCATTATGCATTCAAACTACAGCATTGTACAGTACAAAAATTACTGCATATTTAAATAGAAAAAGAAAATGGTTACAAACCGTGACGTAACCTAATGTGAACGTTGTCACACCAGAGTGACAAAAGCTTTGAAACTCATTGATATGAGCAGAAAAGCTTAAGGAGACTCCTGAGTCTCTCTCTCTCTCTTTTTTTTTTTTTTTTACTCTAAAATGTGCAAAAAGAGGTGACAGCATTTTAATATGTAGCGATTGACAATATGATTCACATGTTTTTTACAGCTTCAAAGTCGTTTCCAATTTATTGAGACGCCAAATATAACTTTGGTCTTCCACGTTTCAAAAAGCACAAATGTGTTTAAAACATTGGCAGCACTTTAAAATACATTTAAGCCAAAGAACGTTTAAAGTTACTGTTTATTCTGACTTAAATGTTTATAAGTCAGAAATGTTGCACTTGGGAAAATCCCACTCAAGACTCTCGTGCTAAAAGTTATGATTTCAAGCTGTGCAGCGACTCATCACTCTGCTCTCCCAAGAATATTGTACAATGTAGGGAGTGACGAGGTTCATAACATTACTCTAATGTTATTTTGGAAGATAGCTCGCTCGTACCTTGATCACAAAAAAAAAAAAAAAAAAAAAAAGCAGTGCAAAGAAACAACAAACTCAGAAAACTTCTGCTGCGTTTGTTGAAAACAGTGAGTGTGCCACTGGTGAAGGTTACAACCTTCTCTCTCCACTTTCTTCTCATTCCCCCACCTACAAGATTTACTGTGAAGTTAATGGATGAATCTGCATTAAAATCAGGTTCCTCTCTCTGACTTGTTGTAAAATTCTGGGAACTTTCAAAGCTGAAAACCGTCCATGAGAATTAACTGGAATTCACGAGAACACAACTGAAACCTGCAACAGATTCTAAATTTAGTTGCAGAAAAAAAGATTTTGGCATAATCTTCAGTAAAACAACAAAATTTCAGGTCTGTACCATGCAATGACAAGTTCTGTACCATACAAACTGATAAACTACGTCACCTGGACATGTTGGCATGAATGGAAATAGTAAACAGTAGTCCCTCGCTACGTGGCGGTTTGTTTTTCGCGGACTCGCTCTACCGTGGTTTTTCAAAGTAAGATTGGACATGACACATAATTGGCTGATTTGATGGATGAGCCGCACAATCGGCATGGAAGTTTTATTTAAAATTAATTATTTTAAATTATTTAGTGCCTCCTGCACCTCTGTGCAGTCCACACTGCAGGATAAGCTTCCTCTTGCAGCTGATCAGCTGATCTTCGTGCAGAGCGGAGAAGTGGGCGTGGCTGAGAGCACTTGCAGGAGGCAGAGAGCTGAAATCATGACAATTCTGTGCTCTTTTAGAGCGTTTACAGTTTAAAAGCATTGTTTAGAATATTGCAAGAGTGTGGGAAGGGTTTAAAATGCCTTATATATATATATATACATATATATATATACTAAAATAAATTACTACTTACTACTTTTACTACTATCCCTACTTTGCAGTTTTTCACTTAACGCGGGGCTTCAGGATACGGAACCCCGTGATAAATGAGGGACTACTGTAATATAAATAGTTTTGTTGTAAATTGGAACTTACTGAAATTGGGTTTGTTTTTATGTAGATAAAAAGTCACAAGTCAAAACAATGCCCAAACAACATTTAAATAGTTCTGTTTAGAGTTGTGTGAATGAAAGTTGACATTTTCTGTAAATAAATCTTGATGTTTCAATGTTTTTGTGATGTCATTTATTTATCTGCCTATGGCAAAATAAAACATTTTAATATTTTTGTTTGAACACAATGGTTTATTATCCCAGTTTATTTCCATTATTGTAACTATACCAATTATAAATTAACTCTATAACTATAGAATTATAAATTAATTCCATAATTATAGAAAAATAATTCATTAAAGTCAGTTAAAGTCCAATTAAAGTTTATGGAAATTATTTATTTTTGGAAACATTTCCAAAAAAGTTTAGCCCCTTTGGAATCCTACTAACTTGGCATCGATAAAGGGACTGAAATACACAATTGCCAGGTGTTTGTCTGGGTTCATTAAATGCAGCACGAGGTAAACATGTATTTTACATCCTTAAAACAAAATTTTGTATTAAACAACTCTACCTTTTTTAAAGATTTGGTTGCTTTCAAACTCTTTGAGGGATTCCAGTTAATCGATGTAGATTACAACTATTTGGCTGACAGGAAAGGAGACTTGCCATTTGATGATAGGTTAAAGGTTACAGAGCACCTTGTTCCATCTTGTTGTGCCACATGGATCTGTGCCTCGGGTCTCTTGGTAAGGCACTTATTTGTCCATGATTCAAAGTTACAGGTGAACTGATGGCTTACCGCATTTACCAGATACAGCAATACGACTCATTATTCTAAACAACAGTTTAAAAAAACAATGTGGCCAAGAAGGGCATCCACCTAATCCAACAGTTGGCATTACATCTTTGTTTAGTTTCCTCAGATTAAACCCTTTCGTTTTCAGAATCTGTGCACGGTTCTCCAGCCCACAATGTGCCAGATGCCACAGGAGCATCTAAATAAATTAAAACATTGTGAACAACTTCCAATTTTTTTGTCAATCATTTCAGAAAGTGAAACTCATATTATATAGAGTTATTACACATAGAGTGAAATATTGTAAGCATTTATTTCTTGTAATTTTGATGATTATGGCTTATAAATAATGAAAAAAAAAATCAGTGTCTCAGAAAATTTGAATCTTACATTTCCAGTTTTTGGTACCTTTGGCGGTGTGGGCAGGAGCCAACTCCATCCATCCACTATCTTTACCCGCTTCTTCCTTTTCGGGTCGTGGGGGTCACTGAGGCTCGTGTCCAGCTATCACTGTGCTAGAGGCAGGGTACACCCTGGACGGGTCGCAAGTCCATCACAGTGCCACATGGAGACAAACGAGACAAACAACCATTCACTCTCTCACTGGAAAATGAAATCAGCATCTCCATAAAGCTTGTCAGCAGAAGGAAGAATGAAGTCTCTAAAACGTCCTGGTAGATGCTGCATTGACTGTGGACTTCAGAAAACACAGTGGACCAACACCAGCAGACATGGACCCAAACCATCTCTGACTGTGGAAACGTCACTCTGGACTTCAAACAACGTGGATTCTAACCGCTCCACTCTTCCTCCAGACTCTGGGACCTTGATTTACAAATTATATGAATATTTACTTTCATCTGTAAAAAGGACATTGGACCACTGAGCAACAACAGTCCAGTTATTTGTCTCGTCACAGTTAAGACATTTCTGATGTCTCTGGTTCAGGAGTGGCTGGACTTGAGGAATGAAATATTTGTAGCTCATGTCTAGGAGTTAGTCAGCTGATTTCACTCTATGTAATGAATCTATATATCTGGTTCACCTGGACAACAGACTGGACTGGAGCTGCAACAGTGAAGCTGTCTACAAGAAGGAACAGAGCAGACTGTGCTCCTTCAGGAAGCTGAAGTCCTTCAGTGTTTGCAGCAAGATGCTGCATATCTTCTATAAGTCTGCTGTACAGTGTTATCTCTTCTGCCATCATCTGCTGGGGTATCAGCACCAGAGCAAGGGACTTAAAAAAGATCAACAAGCTCAAAAAGAAGGCTGGCTCAGTTCTGGGGACTCCTCTTGAACATTTGGAAATGACTGTACAAAGAAGGATTCTTCATAAAATGAAGAACATTATAGACAACCCTCAGCATCCTCTTCATCAGACTGTCATACAACAAGTGTCTTCAGTCAGAGGCTTCTTCAGATCTGGTGTAAGACAGACCGCTACAAGAGCTCCTTCCTGTCCACAGCCATCAGCATCTAGAACAACTCTTTAATGAATCCAGTATGATGAGTTACAACATTTAATTTCCCTCTGGGATTAATAAAGTATTTTTAAATTTGAATAGAATTTGAATATCTGAGTTTCACTTTCAGAAATGGTTGACAAAAAAACAACAACATTGTCACGATATTCTAATTTTTTGAGATGCACCTGTAAGTGGAGTATTTAAATTTGTAGGATCTCACGTCATTTGTCAGCTTCTGGGCTCACCTGGAAGGGCTTGCTCTGGAGTGTGCAGGTTATTGCCGGGTCGGTACAACATTGAGGTGGTGGGAGAGTCCCACTCCATGCCCGAATCTATTTCTGGTGACAGAGAAAGGAGCAGCAGTGTCTCCGCATCCGAAGAGCAGACTGAACACAGGTCCTCGGAGGAGAAGTCAAGGCAGCCCAACTTGGCCAGTGAGTTGGACCTCTTAAGTTTTGAGGGCACCGTGAGGCCCGCGAGTCGCATGCGGGTCTCAATTTCCTGCGCCCTCTGACGCACGAGGCCAGGTTTCCCCCTGAAGCTGCGCAGGCTGTCGCTGCTGGAGCTGCGTGTCAGGGTGGAGCCATGAGGTGAGGAGGTAGGAGTGAGCAGCCCAGACCCCACCACCCCCAACAAGGCTTCATTGGTCAGTGGCACCATCAGAGGTTCTAACCGCACTTGGCATGGTGTTGAAGATTTTGTGAAACCACCTGGAAAGCTGGAGAACTCCTCATCGTTATGAGAGGAACCCTTCTTGGACCTTTGGCATGCATGAAAAGGCTTCAGAGACTGCAAGCTTTGCTGAGATAACCCTGAAAGTCTCTCTAGCCTTTCTGCACGACGTCGGACCAGCCCAGAACGATGCAGCTGTGAAAGACTCTCCTGTTGTTGGCCAATGTAACATGCCACTGCAGGTGTCGCTTCCTCCAAATCTGCTCTCATCAGCTCAGGAAGAAGCTCTGAGGCAGCTGCAGACTGACTATCATCAAGCTCAGAGTTACCTTTTAAGTAATCACCATTGTCCACAGACTGAACTATCTGCAACGAGTCTCCTGGCTGTTTTTCATGTGAAGCAGTGGGTAGGCAGGCAGCACAGTTGGCACTTTCATACAAAGGGCCACGAGGGCACGGCAGACCTTCAGCACAAGTATGAAATTGTAGGAATGAAGCACTTTGGAATAAAGGAGGAGAGCAGGGATTAAGGCAAAGAGCTGGGTCTGAAGAATCATCTCTCTGATCACACTTAAACTGCACAGAAGCATCTCTTGGAAGGATGGAGGAAGCAAGTTCCTAAAACATAAAAAATTGCCAGATGAATAAAACTTATTTAGCTACTAGCATCATTTATATTTTAAAGTGTGGGCTGACTGTGTCTCCTAAACTTACATATTTGTTATGTAGAGTGCTCGAATGGTTGTTGTTGTTGTAATTTTCATTAAGGGTTGCCAGATCCATCCCAATACCTTCTGCATCCCCCTCTACTTCCACATCCTGTGTTTCATCACCACCTCCTCCATCATCTGGCTGCATTAGAACTTCCATCTCTGCTTCCTCCTTTTGTACATCCTCCTCATCCTCCTCCTCCACGGTGCTGAACTCCAGCCTGAGACGCAGCTCCTCCAGGGGCTCAGGGCCTCGCCTGCAGGTCTGTGCAGCGGTCCCCTCTGCTGTGAGCCCAAAGTGGGGTAAGGGAAGGCCTTCTCGTCCATCAAAGGCCTCATCATCCAGCAGAGCATCTCGTTCCACATCTTCAATTTCTATGAAGACCTTTTCCATGCCGATAAGGGGTGGACCACGCACTGGTGTTGATGGTTCACTGTCCAGAGCTGAGTCAGAGAGTCGGCGGAAATAGTAGTTGTTGTAGGCTGGGTCAACGTCCAGAGCAACAGTCCTGCATGTGGAAGGGCATGCTGCTCCTTTATTAGATAGCACCTCCTCAGAACAGGGAGACATTCCTGGCTCCAGAGTCAGATGATCTCCTTCTTCTCCACAACACTGAGACAAACCCAGCTGACCCTCCGTCATCTCACAGTCTGCGTCTGGATGCCACAGCTTGTTGTGCCGCTGTTTGCTGGAAAAAAGGACATAAATTGGGTAAAGAAGGAGAGAAGTCAGGGAAAATAAATTGATCCACAATGTAAAAGACCAATTCACAACACTTCACACAAGTGTAAGTTAAAAAGTGTACCTGGCATCTAAAATGCCCTCATACTCTGCCAGCTGTCTCATAAAACCAGAGTTGGGACGAGTGATGTTCCTCTTCTGCTTCACAAAGTTATAAGCTTTCTCCAACGACCAGCCGTACTCCTTCATGGCATAAGCGATGACAGTGGAGGCAGACCGACTGACGCCCATTTTGCAGTGAACAAGACATTTTGAGTTGTTTTTTCTGTAAATAAAAATAATTGAACATTTATGTAATACATAATCATCTGTATTGAGGTTTGCAACAGTCACTCCTGCACAACTGTATCTGCCTCTCTAATGTGTCTAAAATAAACTTGAATGTGTTTGGAACACCGTGCTACTGCTCTTTGCATTTACTGTTCCACAAATATTGCATTTTAAACTGACACGCTCAATTGATACCAGGGGGAAAAAGCCTCAAGACAATGTTGTTTTGCAATGTGATCACTAATTAGGATCCTGGGTCACAACAGCAAAATTAAAAACAACTTTTATCACCAGTTTTTTTGGACAAACACCTCTATGTATTCTTTCTGTTCTTTCCCAAAATCGAAAACAAATGTGGGAAATTAGATCTTAACATTATGATAGGAAAAGTTCCTTAGAGATGAAATATCAATGTAATTAAGTGGGGAATTTAAACTATTTTGTTCCACTGAGGACTCACTTTGCTTTCACGATGAAGTTGTACGTATCGTTCCAGTGTGCCAGCAGGTCGGTGGCCTCTTCGTCGTACACGCGGACATTGTGATAACAGAAAGTCCCTGGAAAGAAGTTGTCTATTTCCCTGGTAACATTAAGGATGTAGCCCACCCTGGAGAAAAAATACATAATGACTCATCAACATTTTTTGTTGCTTGAATCATTATAAAAATATGTGTTTTGTATGGAGCCCTTTATGATGTAAAGTAAGTCACCCTGTCTCTTTAAGCTCCTCCAAATTAGATGCATTCCATTCAGATCCCTTAAACAAAAAGGAGATTTTTTTTAGAGCTGATCTTTCTTCAGAACAATTATTTCACTGAAATGTTATTAAACATTTGGAATGAAAATGAAATGTTTTATCCCAGTTGTTAACATCAGTAAATACAGCAGACAGTTTTTGTTAATGTAGGAGATGATTTGAGTTTGCCCACCAGGTAGACATAGTCAAAAATGAGAGTGGCTTTGTCCATCTGGCCAAGGATCAGCAGCATCTCATTGTCAATGAACTCTTTGTACTCCTTCAGGTTGCAGTTCATGTGCTGCTCCAGCTCTGTGCGGATCTGACAGAAAAGATAAACATTGATTTCTGTATGGGTGGCTTTACAACAAACGGACATTAAATCAACATTTTGTCCAGATGTTAACAAGCTACTGATCATCTCATGAAGTCTTTTTGAAGGCTACAGCTAGATTTCAAAGTGATGAAAGTTTACAATTTGACCTGTATAAATAGTCATTCAGGAACTGTGGGAGTCAAAACAAAATTTCAAAGAAGAAACTTTTCAGATAAAACTGAAGGTCTGCTGGCTAAAAAGGCCAAACTTACCAAAAGTTTTCACCACAAACTCAATGTCTAATTGGAACTTGTGGATAAAAACTTGCAAGAAACAAATGCAGAACAGGTAACTATTCTGCTCTTTGTGCACAATAATCAGATTAAGCACATTTTTCCTTTGTGTAAATGTGAGAGCAGAAATGTTCTTTTCTTGGTTGTGCAGCAGCCTGTTTCCCCAGAAGCATTACGCCAGACCAATAATATCCAAATATCTGTTACAACTGAAAGACAAGCTTCAGTGACATACAGTAACAATGAGCCTAATAAGAATACTGCAAATCCACAAAAAAATAACATTTGAAATCCAAAGTGGCTTTTATAATGCCCTATATGTGCTGTTTTGTTACAAAAAACTAGATGTAGACATGTTCCAGGCATAGCTAACCTTTTGTTTGAAAATAGCAACAATTGTAAATGCATTTAAGACAGATGGGTATAAATAAAATGACTTATGTCTTTATAATTAAAGAGGGAAACATGAATGCAGCATCAGGAAATTTAACTTAAACATAAGCAGCTGTTTTTTTCTGTTTGTTAACACATTTACCTGTTTGCAGGTGACATTCTCAAGATCTTGGGATGTCATGATGCTTCGGAGTTTGGTTTTAATAAGGCACTCTGTCCTTTCTCTTTCTGAAGGCCTAGCAAAAATAAATATTGTGAATAAAATTCAATCATCGACACAAGCATACAAGAGGAGTTTCAGTTTTCACTTAAAGAGTCGTTTCTAAATTGAAGAGTGTTTATTTACTTGTCGACAAACATGGTGGGTGAGTCAGGTCGTGTGGTCTCCAAGTCTTTCATGGCGTTCCACTCGTTGATGCAGCTCTGATCTGAAGTGATGCAGCTCTCATAGTAGCCTACCCAGGTAAGGGCCATTCCTCCAGGGAAGTAGTTAAACCTTCGTGACACCTCACAAGCTTTGTGCAGCACCTGCAAGGCTGACCTAGAATGTTGTAGATAAGAAAAAAATATATTAGACATTCCTGACAACAACAGTGAAACAATCAAATTGATGTATTCAATCATTTAGTCTGACTTAGTGCAAAGTCTGTGCAGCCAGCAGGTGGCAACAATGATTCAGCACTGCTTCAGCCTGCATCACTGCAGCACACAGCTTATTAAGGGGACTTACCAAGCAGTTCTATTATTACCAAACTGTTGTAGACAGCCACTGTGACTCAAGAAGTTATTACTCACCACATTGCCTGCACCGACACGGGCTTGAAGACATGAGTCCGACCTGCTGTGTTCACCGTAAAACCCCTGAGGGGCAGACAAAACAGATGGGTCAGTCCCTGAGCCGGAGACCGCTGCAGCTTTGCGTAGATTGAGCTCATATCAAATGTAAGGAACTGATGCAGCATTGGGTAAAAATGTGACAAACAGAGTTGCAGCTGTGTTCCCTGTCCTTATCACGGGGTCACAAAAACTGAAGGGAGCTCACCCGTCTCCATCCAGATGTATCTTTGTATCGCTCCACAGAGGTAGCACCATGCCGATTGAACAGCTTTTACTGGCGGGGTAAAGTAAAACCAGACAAAAAGACAAAATATAAATTAATAAGAAGTTATATATGTGGCAAGATAAAAAGTATTCTTTACAGAAGCTAAATGACAAAAGCAAAATCTCCCACAAAAGTTTTCTAATGGTTAACTTATATTTTTCTTTGTAGGGATGCACGATATTATCGACATGGTATCGGCCGATATTAGCAATAAAATTAAATATCGGACATCAGGCATTCCATCAAAATAACTCAGATATAAAAGGTGCTGTTTCTTATATATAATGTATTTATATAGTTTACATCATTTTCAGCCCCTTTTTTGGCATCTGTATTTGGTAGCAGGCCAAATTAACAAAGACCATGCAGAATAATATAGTATTTTAATTCCATAGCAGAGAAAGCTATGTAGTCTCTGAAAGTCGGTCTAGGGGGGAAAAGTATCGGTATTGGTATCGGTTATTTGCCAAATAAGTTTTAACATATCAGCATATTGGCCAAAAATCCAATATTATGCATCCCTAATTCTTTTAGACGGCACCGGTAAGTATTTCTTAAAATTCCTGTACTAATTACAGCCCAATGAACATTCGATCTTCAGGACACAAGTAAATATACACTCTTTAAACTTGAGGCAGACACAAAATTAGCTTGTTTCTACAAAGTTGATAAATATTTAGTGGAATCCCATTGATTGGCTTTGTACCAGTCTTTGTTGGTGAAGTCAATTCCTAAAAGAATATTCTCCTCCGTATCCTGTCGCCCGCTGGTATACACCACGACCATGTACCGCACACGATCCGACCATCCACTTTCCAGACGTACCGCCTGCACAGTGGAAACATGAACTCAGAGGTGTTGACAGTTTTAAGGACTGCCCTTTAACACTGCACAACAAATATATAATAAACATCAATACTGTGATATTAACTGAAGAAGTTCGATATAATGATTTAAATTTAAAATAAACCAATACAGTCTACACTTCATGCAAACACAAAACTCCAACTTTAATCTAACAGCTAATGCTAAAGCAAAACAATTCCAGTTTAAGCTTCAATATTGAGAGACCCGTTTCCAAAAAGTTTTCACAGCTACATGTGCAAAGAAAACATAACGAAAACCCGTCGTGTGACAGTGTAACTGAATATCATTTAGGTACACAGGAGCCAAATGTTGGTGGATATAAATATATTTTTAAAATCATTAAAAAAAAACATACCACAAACATAACACATTTTGCGTTCTTAATGTTCAAACCTTTACAAATCAAATTGTTAGAGTAAGCAAACATACTATTTTGGAGGGTTTCATTGAATCAGGCTTTCAGACAAAAATTGTGTTCCTTTTTGTTTTGATGCATCTACATGACGTCTCTTACCAGTTTGATTCTGTCTTCCGAGCGGAGAATGTTTATCATCACCTGCAGGTGTTGAGGTAAGTCACCTGTTGAGGAAGATGGTGGTTTGTTTGTTAGAGATGGACTAGCAGCAACACAAACAGCTTAAAGTGAGGCATTTATTACGAATAATGTCACAACCAGGGAACAAGACAAACTGTAAGACGCCGATTGTGGATGAACAGCTGCAAGGACGGAACAGAAATTACTGTTTTTTGCCTGCGTGTGTGTGTTTGTCTGTACAGTTAGCAAAATGTCTCATGATTCACTGGATTTTAATTAAACTTTTACAAAATAATATTCAATGTACCGGTGCATCTATAACTCATTAACTTGTGGAATTGACCTAATTCAAAATGGCCACAACAAACAATCTCAATTTGAAATCGAGTGAGCTAAGATTTGGTGACTTAGTAGTTGAGACTGACCCCAAACTTAGTCGGTTTATAGATTATAAGCACCTGGAGGAATGCCTGTCCTCTCCAGTATTTATCTCAGTATGCACAGATAGGTGGTACACAATAAAACATGATTAATGCAAAATAATCCCAAGCTAATAAACACAAATTAAAGCCATTACAGCACAGCAAATATGGTCCGTTAAAACATGTTTCACTCTAATAACTTTTTTGTGATTTATTTACCTGGATGATTGAGCTTATTTTCTTATTTATTTATTTTACATAAAATGTGAACATTTATCATCAATGAAAGTAAAAATAAAAAGCATTTAGATTGGGGGTTCAGTTCTGATCCTCGAGGGCCACTATCCTGCATGTTTGAGATGATTCTCCGTTCAACACACCTCATTTAAATCACAGGGTGATTAACAGGCTTCTGCAGAACATGAAGAAGTCTCTTTCTAACAATAAACTTTAAGTCACTGATGGTGAGGCAATAGCTTTTAGAATAAGAATGCCTTTATCAAGAACTTTGTATGAGTCAGCCTCACCGTCTCTTAGTACTGGGGCATATCCCACAGTTACTGGGAAATGACACAGCTATTTCCCCAGGCAAACACTCCTGACGACGAAGTACGACTGGCAAATATGTGAGGTACCTGACAAAATGGCCAGCAAAAATGGACGAAGCTGCCAGTCGCTGCCACAAGTTGCCAAATGACTTGGCAGCAGCTTAGTTGTTTGCCGATGGTGAAACCTCATCATGCAACTGGACTCCACAGCCAGCCTTGAAGCTTAAAAGCAACTATTGTGGCTTTGAACAATGTCATTAGGAAAAATAAATAAATAAATAAGAGTTTGATTAATGAGGAAGTTCAGCCCAACCTGTCATGTTGCCACTGCAAAGCAGGTTGCTTACTTTAAAGTTTGCAAAAACTGAAGGGGCTGTTGCAGAAGAATACCAAAGGTATGAACAATGTGATGAGCAATTTAGTGAATTCTAAGTTTCTGCAATAAAACTTTAAGGCCAACTAAACACAATACAAATGTAGTTTGGTCATGGCCAATTGATTCACATATTTACAAACTGCTGAGAATAGTCCTATAACTTGTAAAGTTGCGAGCACATGTGAGGCTGTACAATTAGTAAGGCCCTCCTTTAATCATCAACAGAAGTTTTGCTCAGAGGGCCACCATATGCTGGATTTAAGCCCTAATCTGCCTAAGCTACAGGTCTGGAACGTGCTCACCAACGACACAGCCTGCTCACCCCAGTTATAAACATCTGCTGCAGTGTTACAGCAACTAACCGTATTTTACAACAGCACCACTCGATACAAGATGATAAATCGTGTATTGTGCTTTGTGACTCTCACCTGCATGTTTGTGAGGAGGATGTGCTTTTGGGCCCTGTTGACTGCTTCCCTGCTGCAAGAAGAGGGCAGCACCCTTCACCATAAAGAAACTCTCACTCAGGCTGCAAAGAAACGAGAGAAAAGTTGCAGTGGTTGAAACAGACACTGTATATCAGACACCATTCTACAGAGGAACAGCTCAGCACAATCACTCTAGTTAGTTTGGCTAACAAAATAAACCTAACATTAAGATACAAGGGGGGAAAAACAGCCTCAACAGAAGAAAACAGTTCGGTTACAAGGAACCAATGAAATGACTATAAATCACTGATGTCCCCTTCTGGTGAATTAACTCCACAGCTCAGAAGAGAAGCCAAGCTGCCACGTTACAGAGGCAGATCTCATCGTGCAGATGCCAGAATTCAAGTTGTGAGCTCAAATGTTTATCTATGTCTTATCTGCTGCGTTGGCTCCACTCAGGTTTAACTCGTCAGATCTTTGCTATCTTGCAAGAATGCATCATAAACCGATGTAGCTGATCAAACGCCAGCTCTTTGTGAAGCTTACCTATAGCTTTGACACTTAAAACAGCATTAACTAATTTATATATAGTTGTAAAAGTCGGAACATGATCAGGTTAGGCTTCAAAACTGTAAACATAACATATTCAAGGAAATGCTATTAAAAAAATAAGTAGAGTGTTTCCTTCAGGCTGAATTCAATCATTCTGTTTCATTGAAGAACAATGGGAACACCTTCCTAAATCTACCTGACAGCAGGGTGGAACACATGCAACAGGTATTCTGTGTCTGCAATCTGGTAAACCAGGTCAGCATTAGGAAAGTACAGAAGTGATGAGTGACAGAATGAAAAAAGTCCTGAATCCACAAAAGACAAAGTTGTCTCTTCATTCAGCTATCATGACAACAGTGTATTGATGAAGTGAGACATTGCTGCTTCATGTGAACAAAGTACTTGTTTCAGTAAATAAAGAAAGAAAGAAGCATATTATTGATTTCAGAGAGACAAAATTCAAAGTGTTGAGTTGATTTACCCCATATATGTAGAAAAAAACCTGATTACCGGTACACGTTTTTGGTTTTAAATAAAATCCTCATCAAACTGCTCCATTTTGCTCTATTGGGTTGGACTTTTAAAACCCATTTAGTTAAAAAAAAAAGGCCTGAACAAAACTAACAATTGTGGGAACAATGTATTATTTTGTACACTTCACAATAAATTCTGACTGCCCCCAGCCATGCAAAAAAAAATAAATAAAAAAAAAAGTTAGTGACAAGAATGGGGGTGGATACTTTTTAAAAAGAGCTTTTGTTTTATATTTTCACACTTTTTTGCTGTTTGATAAAGTTTCAAGAAGGGTCAAACTTCCAGGAGATTATAAAAGATATAAGACAAAAGGGAAAGCCGACTCATTCCTCCTCAGCACTCTGTACAAACCCATCAAAAGTGAATTTATTTAAACCGGTAGACGTGTGAAACTTGTTCTCACGTGTAAATCAAGAGCTGCCTTAACTATGACACCGTAACTAAACATCCACAGCTCAGCTCTTTCCTTCGCTGCAGCACCCTGCTATCAGCTTCTCCACAATGTTAGAGCTAAAAATATGTCTTGAATCAAAGCAAGACAACTCAGAACGAACTTTAGCAGAAAACTACAAATGCACCTACATCTGTTTAAACATAGACAGGAAGAATGACATTATTCCTCGTATGACGAGTCACTGGATTAGAGTAAATAATAAATTAAAACTTGCTCCTAAAACAGTTAAAAATCTGGGTATTTTTAAAGATGTCAACAGTGAGGCAGCTTGTTAAGTTCAAGAGAAGTCAGTGAAACTCACATGCGGTTGATCTCTCTTTGGGTCAACACTGCATTTTCCACAAAATAAGGTAGCATCTTCATCACGGCCTTCTGAATGGGTTCTATGACCAGATGCATCCTGTTGACTGGAATGAAACACAGGCCCGTCCGGTGCAAGCTAGCTGTTCTCCATCATGAAGAAAAAAGAAACTGTGGCTTCGGTTTTGTCCTTTTGAGTGACAGACAGTTTGCACTGATCTGTAAGGCTCTGGAGAAGTGCCGTCAGTTTAGAGGCCACTCCTTCCTCCTCCCTCATCTGAGCGTCTCCACTTAAGAGTCTGCCTCCTCCTGCAGGGGTACACTGCAGCTTCCACCCACAGCCTCAGGCACACACAACCAGACTCCCAAGTCCTTCCATCTGTTTCGTCCGTGACGATCCATTAGAATAACGACAGTTGTCTGCAGACAAGAATCTAGCGAGTCAGTCATAATCTGAGAGGTGGATGTCTCCTTTCAGCATGAACTCCCTTCAGTACTCCCCTTAAACTTCAAGTCGGGTCAATACAAAGTGAAGAACGAGTTTCCTCTTAAGTCAGTGCTAAATGTTCTTCCCAAAGACCTTGTGATCCTGAAACAAACTCTTAAAACAAATGGGAAAGTCTATTTTCCTCTGCATTAAAAAAGCAGAAATGTTTGGGTAAACAAAGTTTTGATCAAACAAACACACCAGGGTAGAGCCTCCACAGATTCAACACATAAGCAAAGCACAGGTGGAACTGGCAGCACGAAGAACTGGCACAGTCCCAAAACTCCCCAATCTCATTATATGCAGGCTTATAAGGGAGGGATTATCTTGTGTTTTTGCTTCAAGTGGCCGGTGCTAGCCGTCATTCACTCACATGCATCCCTATCGAACACAGTCAGATTACTTGGGATTATAGCAGGTTACAAAGGACATACCTTTTTTTAAACCCTGTACACCACCAAGAAATATTCTATGTACAGTAGAAAAAAAAGCATAAAACAAAATGAGATATAATTGTGCAAATAGAGTAGGGATGCACCAATCTACTTTTTTCACTTCCGATACCGATATCCGAGGTTTGGTATCGGTAAATACTGAACCGATACCGATCTGATACAGCAAAACAGTGCTGAATTCTGTTCAACAAACTCAGCGTGCTCTTTAGGGTGAAATCTCTGGAGATGCTTGATTAAAGTTGGTAGTGTTATAACTAGAAGTTTTAGTGCCACTCCTTGGAACCGTCGCTGCGCACGTATTGCACATAGCTGTCGAATGTGTTGGCTGAGGTAGTGTGAAATAGTTCCATATGGCTGATCCTTTCGCTCGATCCATTTTGAAAACAATCTGTGCGGCGAATTCGCTAGCGCGTGGCGTCACTCGGAGCAAAAAGCATAGAATTAGAGTGAATAGATCTGCCCAGTCATGGATCGGTCACATTGTCACCGATACGATCCAGCAGTTGTTTTCGATACCGGGATCGATGGCGACGTTGGTATCGGATCGGTGCATCTCTAAAATTGAGCACACAAAAACAGCTGAGAACTCCACATGCTTTGAAGCCTAGAGACAAATTAAACATTTGCTTTATTGTTTGCTTGTTTATTTATTTAATGGTTTGTTTGTTTTTTCCCCTGACACAAATTATTGAAATCTCCACACATAAACAATGAATCTTCTGTTGAACTGGGTGAATTTGATGACCACTGACTCACAGAAAAACCAAACGGCAATAGGACAGTATTTGATGGTCACTGGCAGTATCTCACAAACTGTTATAGGCTCGCTGACAGTCCATATGGAGCTCTGGACAGTTTTATTTGTCTGAGGCAGAAAGACCAGAGACATAAAGGTGATGAAGGAGAACTCTCTGAATCTGAGGTCAAGCTTTAAAAGCATTTGGTATAGATGACGGCACATCACAGAGGGATGGTGGTTTGATTTGTAGCATTGTGAGGAGCTGGATAAATGGAGTAAAAGAGGCCAGATGTCTTCTAAGCTACAGCTCTTGACTCACTGCATGAACAGGTATGAAAGAAAGCTGCTCCAAGTTACCCTACAAACAGGATACAAAGAGCCTTTTACCAGTCGTTTTTAGTCATGGTCTTTGGAGTGTGTTCCAGACACCAGTACAAGGAAAAAAACTTTCTCTTGGGGTTGTCTGTTGCATAATACTGGCATTTCCCCCCTGTGAACAGGGTAAATAGAAGGAGGAGCACAAGAAGAAGGAAATCTTCTCAAGTATCAGAGAGGGCCAAAGTAAATAAAATAAAATAAATGACACAATTGTACTGATGGAAAAAAGTACACGTGAAAGACTGAGATGTGGCACTTCTGTTCCAGCCCATGTTTCTTCTATGTGCCATTTAAGCACTGAAAACCAGAGTGTTGTGAAAGCATAAACGTCTTGAAAATAAAGTTGACTAGACATAAAAACAATCTGTACCATACGAAGGTGTATTTTGTGACATTTCTGTAACAATCTGACCCTCTGAACACTAAATTACCACTCCCATTAATCAAAATGTTTCTAAATTAAATCCAATGCCCAGTTCTTTTGCAGACAAGGTAGTGAAATGAAATCATTGTTTGGCTTTTTGCCACAGACTAGCATAATATTTATGTTAGTCTTCGTCAACTATTTGGACTTTCATCATTATTAACACCAGCAAGGAACAGCAAGTGCAAATATTCCAATTTGGCAAATTTTCAGTTGTCCATCAACAGATGTAAGCTTTCAGCTGGTGTACCAGATACGTTCACCCTGATAAATCTGTCAAATAAAACACTACTTAATGCATCTATGCCATAAAAACAAATTTACTCATAGTTTGATTGCATAATGAGGCCCATGGGCTCTTCAAGAAATGAAAGACATCTAGAAGCAAGCCGGGACTCGCATCGAGCAAAGATCCCGCATTGCTTGAGGATATGGCATGGCTGCTGCATATCAGAAATCAAACCGGATAGTTAGTAGGCCATACATGGTGGTCAGAAACAGTGGTTTGATTCTTTTATGCTTCACGTAATTCAAATATATTTAGAAAAAAAAAAAAAAAAGGCTTCTGCAATCAACATGTAAACCCCGCACAGCAGATTCTTAACTGATAAAAAAAAACAACCCAAAAGAACAAAGAACTCCATCAAAAGGATTGACACATAAAGCTGGTCCTGTTATCATCAGATCATCTTGACAAGTAAGTTTTGTGTTCACAAGCTATTGTAAAAACCTGATCTGAACGGAAATGAAATCTCTCTCTCTTTCTGGTTGCTCCACTGCAGTTGTGTACCTGGTTGTGTCTTGCCTTTTGGGGGGGATAAAATGCTTTCTATATCCATAACACATTCATGTCATATTTAACTCCCAACAGTATGTATGTTTATATAGGTCCAATTGGCTTCATACCTCAGTTCTGGTGTTGGAATATATTTGGTTTGAACACAGGAAGAAAAACATGCCACATTAGAGCAAATACATGAAATCATGAAATTGTACTTTGTCATAAAAAAATGTATGAATCATTTAACCTTGTTCTTCTCCAGTAACTGCTCTGCCTCGTTTCTGCTCTGATGTTTTATCTCTGTGTTTCTGCATTACTGTAACATGCAGCTGTGTAGCAGAGCTGTGCTACTGTACTGTACATACACTAATCACAGTTCTGCACCTCTGTGTTGCAAAGAAAGCAACAATGAAGTTGTGTGTGTCGTAGTGATGGAAAAACACCATGGATGAGTCAACAGCCACTGGAGACACGCTGCATCCTAAGCCTACAGGTTATGAGCACCGAGACATTCATACACAGGTATGATAAGCAGATCAGACACAGAGGAGCAAAACAACACTGATTTCAAACACAATACCAGAATTATTATTTGGAGATCATCATCTATGTCCCCAAACTAAACTGTAATTGAGATATAGAAATTATAAGTTATAGTTTGAGTGCTTAACTTGTGCCTTTTTCTTCTAGCATATGAAATAAAAGCAAAATAACATGTTAAAGTAGTTCAAACTTAATTCTTACTTGGAGCAATCTATGTTGAGTCAAAACTTTAACATAGAAAATTGTGTTGTGACTTCTTTACCATTTCCTTGTACGTGTAGAGTATGTGCACTTTTTTTATTTTCATGCACATCTCTGATAAAACAGTGGCTACACATAGACTTTATGTAAAGAGATCAGTCTCTGCTTTACGATTCTGCTGCTACTCTACTCGCCATCAGAACCTTCATAAAAAGACGCCCAAATGTTCCCAATGAAAGCAACATGACACTCAGTACATGTCAAAACATCCCGTTGTCAAAGTTATTGTTTGTATCACAAATCCAATTTGTTAAAAAGCTAAATACAAGGTGTGTGGAAAAGCCAAGCAGTTCAACAGATAGGAAATTAACTGTTCAACTTATTACTTGAGGGACGCCTGAATGTTTTTGCATGTTTTTTTAACCAGTTTTCAGTCATTACAAAAAACTGTACCAACATGACAAACAGGTGTTCGATGACACCTCTCGTTTGTTGATGCCAGCATGTCTGCCGCCACTCAAGATGTCAAGGCATGAGTCAAAGGCAGATTCAGGCGGTTGGTTGACGAAACCACCTGTTCATACACCGAGCGTTGTTTTGCTACGTGCACCATGCGACTGATGGGCAAAACTCGACTTGTATATAAACATACCTCTGATTTATCCGCCGTTCATCTTCACTCCCAAAATCCTGCAAAACAGAGAATGTGAAATAAGTAAGGCCACACTGGAAACAAATCTGATTGCATTACTAATAAACACTCCCAGCCTGGCAGGTAACAGATGTTCCAGCCTTTTTTATTTTCATGTCACAAAAACTGATATCACAAGGAAACTCACAGCAATGGGGGTGCTGGGATATAGAATTTCATAAGGTATTCTTCCTGTTCTACAAAAATGAATTACATAACTCCTTCAGACTGTGAGTGTAAAAACTGAGATACAAAATCCCAGTGTTGCTTGACCTCTAAAGGTTGAAACGTGAAAGTAACACTGTTGCAACTCTTGTAAATAAATGATCTGTGCCAAAGCTCTAGTCATGTTATAAGAGCAAACCAAACTTGATATATTTGCACTTCTTCAAGCTGACTGAGAGAAGCTGTTGACATTAGTACAAATGAGCTCATTTTGTTTCAACACAAGGGACTGTTGGGTTAAGAACATATAGTTCAACGCAGGTGTTGAGAGAAACATGTACAGTTATTTCCAATTGAGATGAACTGGTGTTTTATTCTGACATCTGTTAAACATGATGCTGCAAGCACATTCCAAAGTTGGTATGAAAAATACAGGTGTGTTTTACTTCATTTAACAGCAGCCGCAGCAACCAAAAACCCTCCTGTACTTTCTTAAAACATTCACTTCAATGTTTTTTCAAGAAGATCTAAATGTATGTCCATGGTATGTATTAATGTTTTTTTTTCTTTTAGCAAAATAAAGTACCGTATTTTCTGGCGTATAAGTCGCTCCAAAGTCTAAATCACATCAGTCAAAAAAGCGTCATGAAGAGGAAAAAACATACATAAGTTGCTTCGGCGTATAAGTCGCATTGATTATGTGTTACCGCTGACCCGTCATGTTTATTATGCGTCTATTTAAAGGTCAAAACAGCTTCATTTCGGCTGGACGACGCGGCGCCATCCATCTATCGCGTCCAGAGCCGCTAGCTCTCCAGCGTTCTTCCGCCTGCACCAGCTGAACGAAGCGAGCACGCACGGGAGGACTCGCTGTTGCAGTTCTTAGAAATTTAACAAGATTAACACTTAAAAACAATTATTTGTTTGCTTGACATTATAGCAGTTTAAGTTTTCTAGGTCAAAACAGCTTCATTTCGCTTGGGTGGCAAGCATCCATCCATCCATCCATCCATCCACCAGCTGAGTGAAGTGAGCGCACATGGGAGGACTTGCTGTTGCAGTTCTTAGAAATTTAAAGCGTCAGTCAAAAATTGCGTTATGAATATATTAAAAAAACGCATACAAGTCGCAGGACTGATAAATCTATGAAGAAAAAAAGTGATTTATACGCTGGAAAATACGGTAATCCTGTATCTGCAAAACAGTGTGGGGTGGAGGGGTGGGTGTGTGTGACTGCAATTCAATTCAGTTTATTTCTATAACGTCAAGTCACAACAGAAGTCGTCTCAGGGCACTGTCAGAAACATTCAAATACACAAATTAATAACGTTATTTATCTAAGGCGCCAGCAGATTGTGTTAAGTCTTCACTTCGTCAGTCTCCCATCTACCTACCATCGACCTACCATTTTAGGTAGGTCACTTAAATAATACCTGGCACACGATGACTGAATTGGAGGGTGTCACGACAACTAGCACTAGAAACAAACGATACGCTTCAAGAGATTATTTTCTATTTTTGGTGACCCGCTGCTGATGATTACTCAGCAGGAAAAAAATAATAGTCCAGAAATGGCATTTTTTTTTAGATTTACTGAGAAAGACTAGGTATTATGGCCAGAAAACAATGCAATACTTAGCGCATTTCTGCAATATAGTTAAATAATCCAGACTCAATGCAACATTCCTGCATCCTCTTCATGCCTATTTACCTAAGCTCTTTTTCCCCTACACTACCCCTCCCATCCTCCCACCCCTCAGGAGCAGATGACATCATAGCTGCAGCAGACTTCAGTTAGCTTTTCCTATCAAAACTGGATGCAAAACTCAAATCAACAATGTCGTTCCGGGATAAAACAAAACAATATACTGTACAAGATGAACCCTATTTATAACAAGTTACAACGTATGGCATTTGAGTGATGCAAAAGCTTTACAAGCTGTTAAAATCAACTATTTTTGCCATTCTCCAACACAAACACAATGTTGCAATTACATTTCTAAATAAAAATAAGTGCAAACAAAACAAATGCAGACATCAGCTTTGATTTATCTGGTTGTATGTAAAACAGAACAAGGTGAGCTCATCCGACTGCAGCTGGTTAGTAGTGCCTCCATCTGGTGACTGAATGCATTGAAATAGTAAAAGAGACTGAGAAAGATATGTGTAATATGGTTTAATAGTATCATCTTTTTCAATGTCAGTGACCAGAAAAAGACATTTACATTATGCCCCTTTAATAATGTTGCCAATTAAGAGCAATTCTTGTCTTTTTAACCCATTATGAACATTTGTCAGCCAGACTATCGATTTGTCTTTAAGAAGAGAACAGCCAATGCTGATAGAAACTTATACCTAGATATTCTGTTAATAAATTATATTGTGCTTCTAATTTGATGTTTGTTAGAGATTTTACAGCTAAGTTTGGCTGCAAGAGCAGCAAACTCGTCTTTTAACATCAGCAGATAATACAATCATAATTCCCCGTGTAAAACAACATCCTGTCGTTGATTTGAGAAAGAAAACGGATGTAAATAAAAACCCTTAACGTCGGACAGTTGCATAATAAAACAGCTAAACTTAGTTTGTTAGCTACAACTTGCATCAATAAGACACTTATAAGTAAGCTAACGTTGGCCATTTTAAAATAAAACTAATAAATTTAACACACACGCTGGCTTTTTTATAGTTTAATATAATGACATGATTTCGTACTGAACAGTATAAGCCATTTATATCTATAAATAAGCAGCACTTGAGAACTACCGAAAGCTAACCGCCTAGCATAGCCCGTTAACTATGATGCTAACGTAGCATCAATCAGCGGGCCTCTCTCCAGCAGCATCCCCCCCCTTCCCCCATCCTCGCCGACAGACTAGACACAGGAGCATCACTTTAACCCCCCCAGGTCCCAGACTGACCTCCCCCGCCGTCGTGGTTGCCGTGCTGGCTGTGGAAGCAGCACTCGGGGTCGGGGACCGCTGCAGGGTTACCAACGCCATGGCTGGAAGAAGCTGGGGAGCCGGGGATGCTGCACCGAACACCGGCCGCTGTGGCCTGAGGGAGCTGCAGCTAGCTGCCGAGCTAACCACACATAGCCTGCACACAATCTGGAGGCTGACACCGTGTTGTTCACCAGCAGGAGGGAGGCTGTGTGCAGGAAGTGCTGCGTTCAAGGCCCCCATCCACCTCCATGGTCCTGTCGTAAACTAGTAATACAGTAACAGACTGACCTTTAAACTACACTGACACCATTGTAAATCAGTCTGAACTTGTGTATTTTTGCTTGCTTACAGATCATTGTATATAT